AGAAAATACTCCAAGACACGTATCATTTTTAGCCACGATCCATTCAAACCTCTCAACTGACAATGATTGAAGTGGGGAGATGCCATGTATTCTGACGTCCTGTGTTCTGAAACAAAATAACAAGACGTCTAAAGAAGTCCTATATAAGTATATCCAATAAGGATAATGCATTAGATTGCACTTCTACAATACAATTAAACTACATTGCTTGGGAACAAGCAAGAAGCCATGCACTATTTACGTAAGAACTTCGCTATTCTTCACGGCATTGAGGATGAAGGAGTTTTTCATCAAGCACGGTCATTTATGAGCCGTTACCGAGTGCTGAAGCAGCTTATCAAAATCCAATTGTTTATTTATCCCTTCATGTACTGCTATACTTGAACTGGAAAATTGAATCTTGATCATCCACAAAATCAAGTGAACCACAAAAATGTACCTCAGATTTTTGGAACCAGAGATTCTCGGCAATCAGGATTTGTTGGAATTTAAAGGAAGTTTTCGGTTCAACAGCTGTCATCAGCAGTGTGGTGCCCGGGATTGTTTAGTATAAGAGGCAGAAACTTGCCTACCAAGCATAGACGAGTAATCGAAGGATGAGTTTGTAAATGATGAGTACTTAAGGGGAGGAGGCATGTGCGCAGAGGCCTATTATAGCCTATTTATTGGTCGTAGGAGTAACTGAAGTACAATTGGACGCCACAAATTAAATTAAAAATAACACAATTATTTTACTGATAAAATGCCACATGAAATTAAACCTTACATCCCTTGTTACATTTCAAAATATTTAGGTAATGATTAGAACTGTTCTTAAAAAAATGAAAATACGAAATAAAGCAAAATGTCCCACTATACCCTGACTCCGGGTAATCTGAGACAGTGAATGGGGTAACATTGGACACTACACCTAATTATGATATGATTCTATTGGATGGAGCATATGATTTAGAGCAACAACCAATTATTAGCTCTTTTCTAAAGCTTAATAAACTTTGGGTTAAGGGATGTTGGAAGCTCCGAGGACGACACGAAATGACACGCCACGCGACGATGAGTAGTTTTCAGCACGCGTGTTAACACAAAGCGGTACTAGCTACTATTGTTTGAATAGTAAGAGGTTGTTAACTACATTAAATATTCTAATATGAGGCAAAAATAATGCATTAATGCCCTAGCAAATACTGACATTTATAGGATTATTATTATATAGCTAACCTTGTGCCTGTCATTACCTCGGAAAACATTGAAACTATTTAAAATGAAGTTCGATGCACAAATAATGCATTCTGAACTTCTAATCGCATTTTGCAGCTGAAGGCATTCATTGCATTCATCATGCGAGTCGAAGAAGTTAGTCTGCATAAAATCTAATCATTCATCAAGTATACATGGAGTTTCGAGGCCGTATTATTAAAACTTTAGAAACTACTCGTAGCGGACGATTTCTCAGCCGTGATTGGTGGGTTTAACTTGAAAAGCCGTCATTGCAGTTGACTGTCGAACGTACAAAATCGTAATTTTGATAGTATCTAGTTAAGGATCTAGTACTAATAGATACTAGCGTAATTTTGAGAGGATCTAGTTAAGTGACAGGTTACTCCAACTGCCTGCCACACAAGGGATAGCTTTGATCAGAACACGAGTGATGGAATACAGTGGCTATTCTGTGACTAATTCAAGTCTGATATTTATCTGATATGCTGTCGTATTATTTGATAAAAAAAAATATGAATTTAGGTCAATCTAGAGTGGATAATTTCGGAAAAAAATTGCAAGTGTAAAAAAATTGTAGCGCGCGCAGTGATCTGAGTTGATCACTGAGTGATCTTTATTTTTATTTTAATTTTGGAACATGTGATATGACCGACTTATAAAATCTAAAATATTATTATACAATATTATTATAATAATGATCTCTTTTTCGTCAATTTAAAACATCCGATGGAATAGAAAAAAAATTGTTATTGGACATAAGATTTGAAGACTAGTCGTAAAAAATATCTTTTTTTTTTGGAATATTGTCGCATACATATTTTCCTTTCTTTGAGTTTTATCAGGAAACCTGACATGATTCATTCATATTAATCTAATGTAAATGTACCTGAAGTAGTTCGATCACACTACATATTTTACCATTTATTACACTGTAATTTTCCCTAGCAACCTCGTACCATAAATAAAAATTTTATAGAAACGAACATTGATGAAAGTATAATGGAAATTTAAAATAAAGAAATAATCAATTTATCTTTCTCGCTTCTGTGTTCAAAAAAAGTCATGAGTTGAAATTTCGATACCTTAGAACAATGATTCATGAATATCATCAAAGAATATTCAAACGATATTGGTGACAATATTTAATTGTATCGAAGTTCCGACGATTATTGTTCAACATAATCAAGGTAGAAGCAATTCCTAATATATGCATTCGGTGTATGTACCTTTCAACTGTCATCTGTTAAATGAAAGACTTTTAAAATAGCAAAGAAATTGTAATGCAATTGTAAAAATTTACACTTATTTGTGAAGTAGTTAGATTGCAAGTTGCTTCACTGGACTGGCTATAAATTATGCTGATATGCGCATTATACATATTCATTTAGCGATGCATTCATTCTCAGAGGAATTGTGAGAACATTTGTACAATTTTCAAACATTTCTCGTCATCGACAAGTGACACAAAACCCATGCACAATATGATAAATTGTTCTTTCAACGCAAGTTACAATTTTTTTAAAATAAATTGAGATTTTTCTATCTTTAGTGTAGATGATTTTTATTATAAGACTTCATTTTACATGCTCCTAGTTAGATGCATGCGAGAGAAGACCAAATTTCACGCTTCAAAGTACGTAAACTGAAAAAATCAGAAATAAATAAATGCATGAAGAATATAATATAAAACATAAATAAACTTTATTGATGAAACGTGTGATTAATGAATGTACCTTGAATATAAATACAAATACCTTCAATTGAATACAAGTGGTCGCCTCATTTTTGACGGATCGATTTCTAATATTCGAAAGAGAAATTATTGCTCAGTCAAATTCTACCTATGAATGCATGTGTGGATTTAAACGTTCCAATGTTGAATCCATGTGTAATCTTAAAGTCTGTGAAGCTTTCTTCATTTTTTAATTGAAAAAAAGTTGCTCTGCTGGAAGCTTTTATTGGAATATAAAAAGTTTTTTATATGTAAAGATTCTGAATCTTTTGTCTTAACGAAAAATTAATGTGAATGTTTTCTAGCGAAAATGTTTACATTACACATATTTCGCAGAACGCTTAACAATCCCTGCACTAACATTCATTTCATAACTAAATTAAAATTTTTTCAGAGAAGTAAGGAAGTAAAATTAATTTTTTCAATTTTCCTTCAACAAGATCATTGAGAACGAGAGGCAAAACGGACATCGAGATAAAGGCGATATTTTTAAATTGAAAGTTGGCGGTGAAAAATGTCGTATTAGTTTTGGTAATAAGCGTACAATGTCATTTCGTTTCGTAATAGAAATTTATTCGAAATTCCTTAATAGAGTATTTGGAAATTTTTTAATTTTTGTTCTTCTAATTACGTCTATGCAATATATCTTCCAGGTAGCACCTGAAAAGTATCACATCAAAACTGATTTCTTCATGCGAGGTTGTATATTTATGTATATTGTAGAAGAGAAGAGAAAAGCCTTCTTTGACATCGTGACCAGTAATCTTAATGCAGCTGCCACTTAAATATGACCTTTACCAGTTCGATATTGGAATGATGGATTAACGATGATATTGACGCTGTATTGACTAATGCGTGCCGTAGTATTATTATGGCACATATTATTATCATATGATGAGTGATATTATCTCCCTTGCAACACGCACTGTAATTTTCTGTGCCATTATGAGAGATTTACTCGGAAAGTGGGTAAGTCAGCGAGTCAGTCATGAAATCTAACTAATATTCAGTGTCATTTATTCTGCTCTCAATAAAATAAAATTTTAGTCATTTATTGCTTCATCGCAATTTAGACGTGGATCACAATATCTTTCGGGAGAAATTTTATATGTGGTTCACAATATTTTTTGGCTTCATGAAAATTAAATCTTGAAGCAGGTTCGTGTTCATTCCCAAATTCATTATTTTCTTAAACAGACTTTAAAAATGCATCGAGATCACCCAGGTGCAAACATCATTATAATTTAGCGAAAAATAACTTTAAAGTTTCTAAAAAAAGCTTCTGATACTTTACTGTCAAGTAAAAGATTTGTTATTTAAATCGCAGTCAGACACGTTTTCGTGATCATCATTATCGATGACTTTCCAGAAGCCCAATTTTCAGTGATCAATGTTGAATAAATCTAAAAACTTTTTGATTTAACTTGTTTAAATTGTCATTGGATATATTTCTACCTGTGGCTATGAAAACGTTCGCTGTACAGAATCTGCCGGACTGACATACAACTTAAATGGTTGAGTAGCAATCCAGAGACTTAATGATAGCATTGATGCTTACATACTGGGTTTTGAAGCAAGAAATTTAAATATTATTAGCAATTTAACACCGAAAAAGCTAATTATTACCTATGAATTTCGTTGCAACATATTCTCTCTTTTTGGTGGTTTAAATAAGTCTGAGCGCGAATATATTTGTATATTGCCCTCAGATCGGGCCTGAGATCTGGTGAAGAAGGTTGCGTTTGCTCGCAGTTATTGGGGGCTTAAACCCATTAACTATTAAATCATTATTTAAACCCCTTAAACCTTTGATCAACTCAGCGTGCCGAAGTAATTCCAGGAACTCTCATGAGCAAATCAAGCTCAAGACTGTGGATTTCCATGCATTTGTCTGATCTACAATCAACTTTCCAGATGTGAACTGATCCTTCTATAGCGTTTCTACAATATTCTCATCAAAACACGCGTCGTAAAAATGAGTCGCTCACTGCAGTCACCAGCAGTCTTCTTAATTCTTTTGATGTCCATGGCCGCGTTACATTTATCAGAGGCAGTAATAAATTCAAAGGACTTGTGGTTACCTTCAACTGCGAACAAAACGGCCATGGAGAAGAGCGGGTACCAAATGGCCACGTATGCTACGGACTCAGCCATGCATTGTCTTGGAATTTCACAGTCGCTGAGCTGGTCTGTCGTGTCGTGCTACACAAAAACGGACGTCGGGGCGCAATGTCAGGTGATGGGAGCTGATGCTGTCATGAGCGCACCGGGCGGTGTGGGCATCGCTGTCGGTGCTACGGAATGCAAAATCAAGAAGTCCTTCGTGGGTACGTTACTATTGTATATTTTATTTTTGGGTTATATTCTAGGAACAAGAAACGTGAAATAATTGTAGTTTCGATGTCTAATGCTAATCAATCGAGCAAACCAACGGCTACTGTATTAAAAAAAAATGAAGTCAACTTCTTGATAACACAATTTAGATATAAACATGAAATGTATTTATTGGTATTTGATTCGCATGGGCGGCAGTCGTATTGGTCTCGAGCCAAATTGTTAAATTATATTATTTTATTCATAAGATTCGATGAACGCCGCTACTGACCGATGCACAAAAGAGGACGGAACCGAGGCGCAGCTGAGCGAAGCTTACCCGCAAAACTCGACCTGCTTGACGCTATTCAACTGCACTGAAAATGGTCCGCAGCCGATCACAGCAAGTATGAGTTTACAAGTACTTCGTGTACGTAATTAACGACTTTTCCCAGCCTTTGTAATGTATTTTTTATATGGAATTATGATTAATTGCACATTTTAATGTTATTAGAGAGATTAGTGTCATTTTCAGTGAGAATACCGAGTAAACATTTTGTTTAATCTTTTCTCATGGGACTGAGAATCTGGAGAATATTCATCAAACAAGCCTTCAGATAGAATTTAAAAACAGCCAAAGAAGTCTCTATTTATTTACAAAGAACGATTTTTCGTAGTCTTATAAATACTAAAAAACTTCCAATCGATGGGCATTTAACCAAAAACGGCTTTTGGTCGAAAAGTTTATACGCATACGGCTTAGCTATGTATATCTACCCTGAAAAATGCGAGTGCCCAACATATGTCGTTTATTTTGTTACCACTTGCACGGCTGCAAGTTCAATAAACTTCAAGAAGTCAACCTTTTCCACTCAAACCAAAATGAAACACCTAACTCATGCCTCCCTTTAATTTAGGGGGAAAAAGGCCAACATTTTTTCACAATCCAACAAGTTTTCTTGGTATTCCAGAAAATGCAGCCTCCTCTCAATTTAGGGGGAAAAATGTCAACATTTTCTCAATATCCAACAAGTTTTCTTGGTATTCCAGAGAATGCAAAGTTTGGTCTAGAGGCTGAGCTTGGTCTAGAGGCTGAGTTTGGTCTAGAGGCTGAGTTTGGTCTAGAGGCTGAGTTTGGTCTAGAGGCTGAGCTTAGTCTAGAGGCTGAGCTTGCTGAAGAGGCTGACCTTGCTGAAGAGGCTGAGATGCATGACGCGGTTCACTCAGTGATGAATGCTGAACTGAACTGAACTGAGGGGTTAATGACGCAGGTTCAGACTCAGATCCGTCCACTTCTGACTCATCTAATGAATAGTCGTAGTACTCAAATTGGGTCGTTTCAAGAGGTTCAATTGCTTCGTCGTTTGTGTCTGAAGAATGCTGATTTGAAGCGGCCTTTTCAAGTACTCGTTCATCACGAAGCATTGTAATTTATTTACTGCATGCAAATAGTCTTATTTTAAGCAAAACCGAAGTTACAAATAAGTTTGATGTCACAAGGAGATGTCACAAGAGCCAAGGTGACGTCACAGTTGGAATAACAAATGACATCCGCAAGGCGTTCACGGTGCAAATAATTTGATAATGAATTAATTTCGAAAAAAAACTATTTGTACATGGACAAGCATTTGACAATACCGAGGAATTATTCTGTATTCCTGATGCACAGTTGAAAAATGAGAAATTGATTTAGAAAATTATATTGGGATAAATTGCAGTATTTTTCAACCTCGTAATATGCTTTGAAGTCACGATGATCATTTCAGATATCACAAGTAGAGCAAAAAAAAAAACATTGAGCCGGGAGAAAAACTACTCGTAGTTAGTTCATTTAGTTTGGATCAGAGCTCACGATTGAAGAGCAAATGGCTTTATTCATTCAAACCTAATAAAAATTAGCATTAAAATAGATTTCGCTTCCAACAAAATATTGGGCACCTATTATCCTCTACGTTCAATGCCTCTGATCATATAGAATAATAATTAATTCAGAACCCCAAGAATTCTCCTCAAACGTTTTCTTAAAGAGAAAATGAATTCGTAGAAAATATTTTGTTTTTGGTTAACTATTTCATTCTGCACTTGTATGTACTATGCACTTGTAAATGAAATTTCATTTTAAATGCATCTTTAGAACGGACAGCAATTGATTTCAAAAACAACTTTAGAACTTCAGAAATAAAACTAAACATTTAAGCGTCTTTATGGCTCATTAAAAGGAAGGCGCACAAGACTTCGTCAAGGCCATAATAAATAATGATGGTACGAAATTAATAGAATAGAATAGAATAGAATAGAATAGAATAGAATAGAATAGAATAGAATAGAATAGAATAGAATAGAATAGAATAGAATAGAATAGAAAGCGCCAGAAGTGAGAACAACGTTGGTTGCCACATCTGATGAAGAAGTTCCAGTAAGAAATATTATTTCATAAATGATAGTTTGAGTCATGGTTCCGGTTTGTTTTTATACAAACAAAACACATTTTCATTGAAAATTAGCTCGGCTATTTTGAGATTATTGACGCGTAATGAATGATGTTCTGTGAGAGTGAAAGAGTGTCAGCGCGTATCGTAAAACTTATTTTAGACTGCCTCTCGCAACCGATTTATACTGACGCATAAAGGAAATAATACAACCCGAGGAACGATGAATGTTAGGCTTCATGTGATTTTAGTAAATTATAGTTCTAAGACTAAGCATTTCCAAGAATTAGTCTTGCAGAAGGCAATTTGTTGAGTACGAAACGCTGAGCGTGGATAAATCTTGGGTACTTTATTTCAAATATTGGAGTTTCAGAATCCTGTATAACGATTTAACACGGCACGTGCAATATTGTCGATTCCTTCTTACAAAAAAATAAATTAAATTGGCATGGCTGTAAGTAATTTATTTGTTTTTCTTGTAAATTTGTCAGTAATCTCTTGTTTATGATGGTAGCCTCATCGGTGCACGCATTGCGCTGAAATTGCTGAAACAGAAAAGGTCCCAGCGAACCTTATCGATCCTTACAATCTCATATGCGACCTTGTGGCTCAACATCTCCGTTGTCTTCTCTACTTTCGACTTGGGAGAAGGCTTAATAGGGAAGAAATTCGTCAAGTTAAATATACGAAGTATAATACTCAGAATTTTCGTTTTCTTTGAAGATGCTAAATACTGAAAGAAATATTAAGTGCACGATATATAACTAAATAACTATTAAACGAAAAATCGCTCGATAACATTACTATATTTGCGTTACTTATATGTTACTAATATAATATCTAATCTATCACAATGTGTTGAGTCAAAGCGTTAGCTTTCCCCGTCTCCAGACCAAGCGGTAGTATAGGTGCAGGAGCTTCAGCTCGTCAAGAGTGAAAGGTCGTCTTGGTCGGAGAGTGTCGTGTCTCCAGGTGCCCTATGCCCCGATTTCAAGCCTCTCTCCGAGCGCAGGTCAATATAACGCATTTCAAGCGACATATACAAAAATATATGTCATACATGTTACATTCGTCATATGGTTGTTAGTCTAGGGATCTTCTAAAATAGATGTTAATGTAGACTGTCAAATTTGATGTTAATTTAGACTGTTCAAAAATTCAATTCACGTTTTGGAATGGAAGTAAGTGAAACAAGGATATCATCTGGCAACTGTACCTTTATATGCAAAAGCAATCAAGTATCTTGCTCAGAGTAATTGCAGGAGGCAACTTCGCGCACCAACCGAGAGTCACAATCACGCAATGTTACAACAGAGACCGCAACAATGCACGGACGAAGGAAGCCGCTCACGCAACTCCATCTGAACTTCAGGCTACCGAGCACTGATTGATTCGAGCGCGCAGCGGTCTTAGGCCAGCACTCTCCTAATTACGAGGAAACAAACGCATCGAGCAAGATTAGACTCTCATGAACTCGAATAACTTCCCGATGATGAGTGACTTGCAGTGTTAATTGAGACGTGCTTGTATTGAAACTTGAATGAATGGAATCATGCAGAGTGAATTGAGTTTAATTTCAAAGAATTTTCAGTAAAATTTTTAATTACAAGAATTTTCAATTCAGCGTGAATAAAATATTAAAAATTAGTGGGAATTTAATACTAATAATACTACTAATAATACTAATAATACTAATAAAGTGAGGAAAAATAATAAGACTCTCACCTTCGATATTGGAGTGTCAGACGCCGGAACGGAACACACGTCACCACGACGGCGAGCGCGACGCGACTGCGGCTGGCGGTTGTGTCGGACTTGCATGGTGGGCGGCGGGCGCATCATCGTGAGAGTTGGGGCGACATCGACGCGTGACACGGCGACATACAAACCACGTTTTATGACAATCGGGATCCTAGTGTATGGGCTTGATTTTTGTGCAACAAATATAACGATAATAATACTTATGCCATTAGTTTGCGTAACCAAGAATGTAAAAGAAAATAAAACACCAAATAAATTAGCTAAATAAAGCTTGATTATCTAATAGTTTTTGTCGGAGTAGAAAAGCAGACCAAACAATTGAAACTCTCACAGAGCACAAACAATTGATGTAGTAATGTACAATACTCGTCACGATTAATAACCAAGTTTATTATATTGCTCAGGAAACTCATAACCAAGTTTATTATATTGATCCGGAAACTAAGAAGTGAGAGGATGTTCAATGAAGATATTGTATTTTAAATTGAACTTTCATGGAAATTTGTGATTTGCCTTCGCCGCCGTGCCTTTGGGAAGTCATAAAAACAGCACTAAATTTATTCCAGGCCCATCTATACTCTGCAAGAGCCAGTTAAAAACAGCATGTAATCTTTCCTTTGATTTACTTGGCAGTCTTTTGTTCTCAGGATCGCCCATAAAATTGAACCATGGAGATGAAGAAGTAGAGACGCCGGTCGTTAGTGACTCACCGGATAGATACTTTCCCTGAAAAATGTTTGTTTATTACATCCTGCGAACATCGTGAAAAATATTTTCATATAAACTTTCCAATGCGCTGGAAAACAATATTCCCGGTGTCAATATTACAATACAGGATTTTTCATAGTGTTTTTTATATTTCTTAGAGCTGCGCAGGTTGAACATGCAGCGGCTGCTACCGCAGCGGCTGCTACCGCAGCGGCTGCTAAAATGCAGCGGCTGCTACCGCTACCGGGCGCAACCGCTACCGCTACATGCTTTAAATGTAGCGGACGCTACCGCTACATGCTCTAAATGTAGCGGACGCTACCGCTACAGCTACATGCTTTAAATGTAGCGGACGCTACCGCTACATGCTCTAAATGTAGCGGACGCTACCGCTACAGCTACATGCTAAATGTAGCGGACGCTACCGCTACAGCTACATGCTTTAAATGTAGCGGACGCTACCGCTACAGCTACATGCTTTAAATGTAGCGGACACTACCGCTACCGCTACATGCTTTAAATGGAGCGGGCGCTACCGCTACCGCTACATGCTCTAAATGTGGCGGGCGCAACCGCTACCACTACATGCTCTAAATGTAGCGGGCGCTACCGCTACCGCTACATGTTCTAAATGTAGCGGGCGCTACCGCTACCGCTACATGCTCTAAATGTAGCGGCTGCTACCGCTACCGCTACATGCTCTAAATGTAGCGGGCACTCCCGCTACCGCTACATGCTCTAATTGTAGCGGGCGCTACCGCTACCGCTACATGCTCTCAATGTAGCGGCTGCTACCGCTACCGCTACATGCTCTAAATGAGCGGGCGCTAAAGCTACATGCTCTAAACGTAGCGGGCGCTACCGCTACCGCTACATGCTCTCAATGAAGCGGCTGCTACCGCTACTGCTACATGCTCTAAATGTTGCGGGCGCTACCGCTACCGCCACACCCTGTAGATTCTGTCTCTTATACACATCTAGATGTGTATAAGAGACAGCAACTAACATGTTGACACTAGTAACAGGCTGAGGTTGACAACATTACACCGAAATCTTTCGTACAGTTTTATTCTGTAATTTATATTATGTATGTATCATGCTGGTTTTTAAATAATATTTAGTACTATTAAGCAAAATCTAAAGGTTTTATCTATAAATGTAGCGGTAGCGCTGTAGCGGCAAAACCACGTATCGCTACTTAAATTGCAGAAATACCGCTATTGCATATTGTAGCGCCGCTACCGCTACCGCTACTGAAAATGTAGCAGCTGCTAGTAGCGGCCGCTACATGTAGCGCGCTACTGCCCACCTCTGTGTTAAGCCTCATGGAACAGAAGGATAATACTTCAAGA